TCCACCCTCCCTCTTTCTTTTCCTTCCCTTTCCTTCTTTCCTTTCCTCTCCTCTCCTCCTTTTCTGTTCCTTTCCTCCCTCCCTCTTTCCTTTCCTCTCCTTTTCCTTCTTTCTTTTCCTTCCCTTTCCTTCTTTCCTTTCCTTTCCTTTCATCTCCTTTCCTCCTTTTCTGTTCCTTTCCTCCCTCCCTCTTTCCTTTCCTTTCCTTCTCCTGGCATTGGATAACGGGACCCTCAGTTTTCTATGGGCTCTTCCTGAAACTAAATTCTCCTCTCTTTTCCCTGTTTCGTTACTCCACTCTGGCTGGGAGGAATTCCCCCCATGGAGAGAGAGGAATAATTCTCCCCTTACCGATATTGTTGTCTGGTATCACATCTCCCAGCGTTTGTTTCTCGGAGTTTGGTTGCAAGGACCCTGATGATTTTGATAAACAGGATAAAATTTGCCTGAAAGACAAAAGGAAGGAAGGGAAAGAGAAGGGGACAAAGGGAAGGGAGAAGAAATGGAAGGGAAAACAGAAGGAAAGGGAGGAGGAAGAGAAGGAGGAGGAAAGAAAGGAGAAAGAGAAGAAGATGAACAAGAAAGAGGAGGGGAAGTGGATGTAGGGGAGAAAGAGATGGAGAAAGGAAGGAGAAGGAAGAGAAAGAAGAAGGAGAAGGAGAAGAAGGAGGGGAAAGGATGAAGGAGCAAGGAGAAGAAAGAGAAGGAGAAAGAAAAAAGGAAGAAGAGGAAAAAAGGAGGAAAGGAGAAAAGGAAGGGGAAGAAGGAGAAGAGAAGGAGGAGAAAAGGAAAAAGAATGGAGAAAGACAAAGAGAAGGAGAAGAAGGACAAGAAAGAGGAGGAGGAGGAGGAGAGAGAAGGAAGAAAAAGGGGAGTAAGTAAGAAAAAAGGAGAGGGAAGGAAAGGGAGGGAGGAACAAGAAGGGAAGGAGCGATAATTTAATACCAATAAAAGTGCCCCTTTGGGCAATTAGCATCTCTAAAACCTACACCACATTTTTAAATATATATATTTAAAATTACACACCTACTTCCTTTCCATGATTCCCCCCTCTCCCATTGCAGCGGGGGGGGGGGGGGGGGGGGTTGGAAACTGCCCCCAAACCAAACCCCCCCAGGAGGGGTTAATTTTGTGTGTGTGTGTGTGGGGGGGCATCGGACACAAAAGCCTTCAGGGCGCTGCAGGGTGTTGCAAAAACCAAGGGCATCGCTCCGCTCGCTCCCTAACCTGGTTTGAGGTCTAACCGCAGGCTATTCCAGTTATCCTGCCCCCCCCCCCCCCCCCCCCCCC